CCCCCTACCTGCATGAATACAATGAATCATGAAACAATATGGAGCTCCCTGTACGCCTTTCCATAAGTTTTGACAAAGGTGAAGAAGAAGAAGAAGAAAGAGAGAGGGGGAAAGAATAAGAAAGAGAGGAAGAAGAAGAGAAGAGATGTGAATGAGCCCCTCCTATATGTTATTGAGCTGCGTTCGTCACTGATTGCACACCAGCACGTCGGTAAATAGCAAGAGCATATAGCTCACAATAAGTCACGCGTCGCTATTAGCATCATAGCTACCGACAAGCTATATGCTTCCGGTATCCCAACAAATAAACAAATGGAAACACGGGCACTTCGCCGTCACGACGCAAGCGGGCGAAACGCGCGGCCGCAGCATGCCTGCATAGCCCCAGGGATCGCGAGAGCAACAGAGAGAGGTTAGAGGGGGTGACCAGCGCGCGAATATTGTCACACGGCTGTTGGCGTGTGGCCGCGCTGCATGTACAGTCAGGTCGACCGCACGGGCACGGCAACGGATGGCGTTGTCGTCGTTCGTCACCACAGAGCACCGTCAGCATGTTCGTTTCGCTGTGGTTTGTCGTAAACGATCGTAAATTTCTAACCGGAACAGTATTTTTTTCTCACACAAACCAGCCAGCATTACTTCTTCACGAACCAGCAACAATACGAACCTGGGCAGGGCAGGGCAGGTGCATGGCCTGCCGGCTGCCGCGGAGATTAACTGACGACAGTACTAGTACAATGTCACTTCAACTTTAAATGCCATGAAATTTTAGCCCTCGAGGGAAAGATTACCCTCTTGGATGCTAGGTTCACAGGTTAATTAGGAATTGATTAGTTTATTCGAAAGCTAATCTTCCTAAAGTCATAACGCACTAGGCAACTAGCAGCCTGTTCGCTTGCTCGTAAACGATCGTAAATTTTCAGCCGGGAACAGTGTTTTTCTCTCATACCAAATCAGCCAGCAGTAAATAATCCACGATACGATACGGCCTCCCGAACAGGCTGCAGATAGATTTGTCCATGCGCACAGTTCCTTGAGACAATTTCAGCCGCAGCATGCAGCAGCAGCAGCAGCTGACATCCAGTGTTTTAAAGGCATCGCCTAGGCGTCCAGGCGTACCCAACTTGTCTTGGAAAATAGTGGCGCCTTGTCGCCTAGGCGTTCAGGCATAAGCAGCACTCGTCTGGAAGCCTAGCCGCCTTTAAAACATTGCTGACATCCACCTTTGTATTTCTCTATTTTTTTTTTCATCTTTGCTGATGATTCTGGAGGACCACAATACAATGTCCAGCCAGCTTGAAAATAAAGCCAGATCTTCAGTATTCTTTTGTGCAAATCCCTTAATTCTCTCAGCTCCATGTAGAATTTTGATAACATGGATGATCATGCAGACTGCTAAGTAGAACTTATTATACTTGCTCTAAGAGAACTTCTAGAAGGTTTCACTGTTTGGGTGGCAGTGGAATGCTGGAATGATATTGGCCACATTAGTCGAAGCAGCAGCAGATGCTATTACACAAATAAAAGTCCTTCAGATGGTTGTCAGACATGCCTGTCAGCTCTAAACCGGTGTTCTTGACAGCCGGTGAGCTTGCAATCGTCAAATGCAAATCACAGAAGCACTCAAACCGTTGGAGTCTTGCTGCCGGAACCGCTGCCCTTCTCCTTCGTGGCCGACGGCGGCGTGCGGCCTCGGCCCTTCGGCGACACCATCGCGACGCGCTAGGTCCTCCTCTTACGGCTCTGATGCCAACCAAGGATGCCGCGGCTGCCGCAATCAAGCGCGTTCAAGCAGCAGCTGAGCGCAAGAGCGGCAAGAAACTGCTGGCCCTGCGCACTGACCGCGGCGGTGAGTTCGCCGCCACCGACTTCATCGAGTACTGCGTCGAGCTGGGTGTTCATCGTCAACTCACGGCGCCGTACACGCCACAACAAAACGGCGTCGTGGAACGGCGGAACCAATCCGTCGTTGGAACCGCGCGCAGCATGCTCAAGGCGAAAGGGCTCCCCGGCAAGTTCTGGGGGGAAGCGGTCACCACGGCCGTCTACTTGCTCAACCGTTCCTCGTCCAAGAGCGTGGGTGGCAAGACCCCCTACGAGCTCTGGACGGGTAGCGTTCCCGGCGTCCAGCACCTGCGGACATTCGGCTGCGTCGCGCATATGAAGGTGACGACGCCTAACCTGAAGAAACTTGATGATCGAAGCAGGCGTACAATCTTCGTTGGCTACGAACCCGGCTCCAAGGCGTACAGGGTCTATGACCCTGTGTCTCAGCGCGTGCACGTGAGCCGGGACTTGGTGTTCGAGGAGGCGGCGCAGTGGTCCTGGACCCAGGGGCAACGCAGCGAGGTGAGTGACTTCACGGTCGAACACCTGCCATTGCCCGGGTCAGCCACCACGACGGCATCGACGAGTTCGACTACGCTGCGCGAGCTGCTACCACATCTCCGACACCACCGGCGTCTCGGCCCGAGCTTCACCAAAGACATGGTGCTTGGAGCTCCTCATCACACCGCCTCGGCTGGTTCACGCCGCCAGTGTTCGGTATTTGGGGAGCGTGACGCCGGGCACGCCTCCTCAGTCTGAGCCGGACCCAGTGGAGTTCGTGTCACCACCAGGCACCGGCGCGTCGCAGCTGCTGGACGCGGACCACGACGACGATGCCCCATCGCGATACCAAGAACGTCGACAACGTGCTTTCGGTCCGCCACGCCGCCGGGTCTCGCACCCGCGTGAATGGAGAGGAGTACCGCCGCTTGCAAGTGAAGCCGAGCCGACGACGTTCCAGAGGCGCCGCAACATGAGAATCGGCGCCATGCCATGCTCGACGAGTTCACTTCCATTGAGGTGAACGACACTTGGGAGCTCGTGGATCCTCCACCAGCGTCGCGCCCGATCGGCCTCAAGTGGGTCTTCAAGACGAAGCGGGATGAAGCCGGGCTCGTCACCAAGTTCAAGGCCCGGCTGCGTCGCCAAGGGATACGTGCAGGCGCCAAGGCATTGACTTTGATGAAGTGTTCGCGCTGTGGCTCGCGCTGAGTCGATAAGGTTGTTTGCTCGCGCTTCATTTGCAAGTGAAGGGTGGGCGATCCATCACATGGACGTCAAGTCCGCCTTCCCGAACGGTGAGCTTCGGAGGATGTCTACGCCGAAAGTGCCACGGGGTTCGTGGTGAAGAATCAAGAGAAGAAGGTGCTGCACCGATCAAGGCTCTCTATGGACTTCGTCAAGCCCGCCGCTACCGGTACTCAAGCTCGATGAGTCCCCGATCAAACTCGGGTTCACGCGAAGCACATCGTAGCATGATGTCTACCTCCATGCAGCGCGCGCCGCGGCGTCTCATCGTGGGCGTTCGTGGATGATCTGGTGATCACCGGTGGCAATCCAGCGACATCCGCATCTTCAAGGAGGAGATGAAGGCGACTTTCGGGATGAGCGACCTTGGCCTTCTCCGGTATTATCTCGGACCGAAGTGATTCATCTGAAGAAGGAATTTCGATCTATCGAGTGCCTATCTTCTTGAAGATACTCCAGATAACTGAAATTTGGAAGGGTGCAATCCAAGCCATACCCCATGGAACCTCGATGAAACTCGATGAAGTCCACTCTGCTCCTTCTATTGATGCCACAAAATACAGTGCATTGTGGGCTCTCTCGGTATTTGGTGAATTCAAGGCCGATTTGGCTTACTCAGGGGTACATTAGTCGGTTCATGGAGAACCCAACTACAGAGCACATGGTGGTCATCAAAAGGGTGCCGAGATATGTTGGTTTGGAACTTTGCACTTTGGCTGCCATTATCGAGAGGAAGAAGGAGCTCATCTCATTGGCTATAGTGAGCGGTGACTTAGCCGGTGACATTGATACAAGGAAGAGCACCACAAGAGTCATCTTCTTCCTCGGCTCCAAGATCATCACATGGCGCCTCGAAGCGTAAGGTGGTGGCTTTATCTTCCTGTGAAGCCGAGTATATAGCTGCCACCACTGTAGCCTGCCAGGGTGTTTGGTTGGCCCGTCTGCTTGCCGAGTTCAGAGGTGAGAAGAGCAGGGCCTTCAGTCTGAAAATTGACAGTGAGTCTGCACTTCAACCGAAAGCAGAACCCGCTTTCCATGACCGCGATAAACACATCGACGTAAGATATCATTACATCAGAGAATGCATTGAGGAGAACCGGGTGATGCTTGAGTCCATTGGGACTGTTGAGGAACTGGCAGACATCCTGACGAAGGCTTTGGGGCGTGTTCGTTTCTGCGAGCTGCGGTCCAAGATCGGCATCATCAACATTCAGGCCATGCGCAAGAATTAGGAGGAGAAATGTTAGTAGTAATCCTAGCGCATTGGCTGGCTCAGTTAGTTAGGACTGCATGTTTCTTATTCAGTTTTGCATGCGGATGAGCACTGATCTGTGGTTGCCATCTCACGTAGAAGTAGCAGCGGGAGTAGCTCGCACGTCCTGAGGATGACCGGTGTTTGAGCGGCATCGTGGGCACGGGGATGGACGTGCTCGCCGCACGGTGCGCGCCTGACCACTGCGTGGTCCTGATAGTCTGTAACTCTGAATAAGAAACATGCAGTCCTAACTAACTGAGCCAGCCAATGCGCTAGGATTACTACTAACAATGCCAAATTCGTTCATGATGGTTGTCAGACATGCCATAACCAAATTCGTCCATGGAGTGGAGGAACGTCCATATGGTCATGGCTAGTCACTTCAATTGAACCTCAGATTCCTATCCTCTTTGATGCAACGACACCTCAATCCCAACTCTTCTAACGAACAAAAATTTAAGTTAAGCATCTAACTTTACCAGTAGTTCAACAGGAAAGACACCTTCTAAATTCCCTATGAAAAACGAGTACAGTTTTCAAACCTATGCATTGCTACCAAGAACCCAACCTATGCATTCATCCACTTGATACCTAGTACTACTATTGACACATGTACACTGAAGCTGGCACCTGGCAGTGAGCTGTGGACGTGGTCGCCGGTCGGGGTCGATCAGGCCATCTTGGGCTTGGCCACCGCGAGCATGGCCATAATTAAGAAGGCGATGCCCAGCAGCAGCAGTGCGAAGGCGAAGAAAGTCGCTGCCGGCCCCTCAACGAGGCCGGCCCATTTGGCCACCACCGGTGCGGCCACGAAGAAGTAGCCGGTCCAGTCCATGGCCATGGTCCCCGCGCCACGGACGACGGTCTCGTCCCCTCGGCGATTGCCGCTCCCGACGGGACGGTTCTCATCTTCCAGCATACGCTCCATCGGTCGGAGCGGGAGCATGGCGAGGCCGATGAAGGCGAACCCGAGCAGCAAGAGTGCGTAGCCGAAGAGTGCCGCACCCGGCGTGTCGGCGAGGCCGGCACAGGCCCCCATCACGGGCGCGGCCACGAGAAGGTACCCGCACCATGTCATCCCGGCGTTGGGGAAGGCGGCCTCCTGGTGGTTGCCGGCGTCGTCGACCACGGCGCGGCGCTCGCGCGCCTGCACACGCTCCATCCGTCGGGGCGGGAGCGGGAGCACGGCGCGGCAGATGGAGGCGACGCCGAGCAGCAGGGCCGCGTAGGCGAAGCCGGCCGCCCAGGGGCCCTCGAGGAGGCCGGCGCAGGTCCCCATCATCGGCGCGGCCACGAGGAGGTACCCGCACCGGGCCATCACCTTGTCGGGGGACGCGACGTCATGGTGGCTGTCGGCGTCGGCGTCCGCCGCGGCCCTGTCCTCCTCCGCCTGCACGCGCTCCATCGGTCGGGACGGGAGCACGGCGCGGCAGATGAAGCCGACGCCGAGCAGCAGGACCGCGTAGGCGAATCCGGACGCCCACGGCCCGTCGAGGACGCCCGTAGCCCGCGAGCCACCGAGCCGGGGCACCCGTGCGAGGGACGGCGCCGCCGTCCGCCATGGCGCGGTCTCCTCCGCCTGCACACGCTCCATCGGCAGCGGAGAGGGAGTAGAAATCGCGGGCGGATCGGGTTGATCGATGCGGGAGGGGAGTCGAATTGCGTCGAGGCGAAGGATGGTTTGGGAAGCGGAGTGGGGAATTGGGAATCTGGGATCTCTCGGAGATAAACCTCGGCTCCAGTCTGCTTTTGTGACACTGAGCACTGGCCCCCACGCTCCGGGTCGCTTAAGATTCACGCACTTGTGGGGCCTGGTAGCCCGGACATTCAAAGTCAGACTGACCATGCATCCGGGCCTTCCCGCCTTCACCAATCACCGCTCCACCTGGGCCTCAATAGTCGAACCGGATCGTTCGTTCTTATCCAGTTTTATTTTTAAAAACAAATCGAGTTCTTTTCGTGAGTAATGTGGGGAGAGGCAAACAAAAGTACAAAACCATGCTCGTCCCACGATCCCCAACCGAACAATTCACATGCATCTGAATTTTTTATACTACGCATGCGAATTGTTTCAGTTTAAGATGTTTCTCTCTCCTTTATCATCAATTCTTTTCTTTTCTTTTCTTTCCTTTCTTTTTTTTTCTAGCCCATTTGAACTACCCGTTTTGCCTCTGCCCCTTATCCTTTCATAGTTTCACCCACCGATTTGTGTGATCTGCCATAAAAATGCTTATACTCCTTCCGTACCCAAAAAAATAGAATTCTCACTCCCAAGTGGTTAAACAATCCTAAGGCCCCGTTTGGCAGGGCTTCACTTCACTAATGAAGCCATTTTTTTTGGCTTCAGCTCCACGAACAGCTCCACCGGTGGAGCTGAAGCGGTTTTGGTAAACTGTTTGGCAAAATGGCTTCCCTGTGAGAGCATGTTTTTAGGGGTCTGGAGGAGGAGCCGGGAGAAGCCACTATTTTTGGCTCCTTCCCACCCCAAAGCTCTGTGAGAGCACGTTTTTAGGGGCTTCATCGGTGGAGCCATTTCATTTTACCCCGTTTGGCAGAAAACGGCTCCAAACGGCTCCTGAAGCCGCTGGAGAAGCCCTGCCAAACGGGGCCTAAGTTTGTCCAAATATATAAAAGAATTACAATTGTAACCTAGATTAATGATGCTATTTTTTGAAATGTTACATGATAAAGTTATTCAAAGATATAAATATTGATGCTATTTTATGCAAATTGAGTCAGTTTTGCGATTATTTGACTCACGAATTCTATTTTTGGTTGGAGGGAGTATATATGATATTAAGAATGTCCGGTTCAAAGAAAAGCGGTGACTTGTGCTGGACTCGGAGCCAATGCTAAATTCCTCCATTGACTGTTATTGGACTTGCAAATTGGACGCTCTCAAGGTCCCGGCCACCGCTAACGAATCAACGAATGTTTCTAGTTCGCTTGAACTTATAAGCCTGCCTTATCAAGCATGATATACTGTTTTTCTCTCACAACAAATTAGCGAATAATACTTTTCAGCCTGGCTTTTCAACGAAGTGAACATGACAGTCTCGAGCTCAATGAATGTTCAATCTCGAGCTCGATTCAAGCTTGAAGGTGTAGTGGGCAGTGTTAGTGCTAGTATATATCTGTTCAGGACTTCAGGTATTACGGCATCCGAGGCATAATACTGTATATCTTCCGAGTATGTCTGTCTGTCAGACTAACCAAGTAACTAAAGCTTTCGCCTTGTTTAGATGCCTCCCAAATTCCAAGTTTTTTCACTCTTTCTCCATCACATCAATTTTTAGCCGCTTACATGGAGTATTAAATGTAGGTAAAAAAATAACTAATTACACAGTTTAGTTGGAAATCACGAGATGAATCTTTTGAGCCTAGTTGGTCCACGATTGGACAATATTTGTCAAATAAGACGAAAGTGATACTATTCATCGGGTTGAAATTTTTTTGCAATCTAAACGAGGCCTTTATATAGATTTTTTTTTCCAGGAGAGTCGCGGCTGCAGCCCTTCTGATGCCGACCATTCTTTTGCAAGGTCACATCACAATGAACATGGATTAGTTAACTGTTCAACTTGAAGCGGTCGAGCAAAGACAACTCAGCCATGACCCATGAGCGCTGGGGTGCTTCAAGCCTTCCACAAGCTAACATATCATTTTGAATCAATTCAGTCATAGACACCATCAGCCACCTTTTACAGACACCTTTCTCACCTTTCTACAGACAGAATATGCATGTCAGCTCCAATCGTGCGTGACTACATATGCCAATGCCACTAGGATTTGTGTTTGTAGCCTGGAGATTGTAATTACAATTTACAGCTCCACAATTTGCACTAACAACCAGAGATGTCAATAAACAGAGAATTTCACCGCAATGATCACAGAGAAACAGATAAGGTACAACACGTTCACTTAAACATAGTAGAAACCAAGCTGCTGTATGGCAGCCTTATGTTTGCAGCATAATCCAGAAGCTTAAAACACAAAACAATTTATAAAGACATCCAGAACGACACCAGGGACACCACCAGATCAGTGAACCCACACGGACTAAAGATAAACACTTCATTGGCCACCTAGTGCACAACGAACATTGTGAACATCCGCGACAATGATGAGAGATGTGGCGATGATGTTCATCCTCATCATTAGTGACATGGTGAAGGAGACTAGCATGAGGACATCGGCATTGATGGCCATTTTGACGGTGACATACCAATGATGATCTAGGCTTGGATTGAGGAACTCGAAGACAAAGCCATAGAGGAAGAGCCCAAAGAGGAAGGTGAAGGGAGGCCATGGAGGGAGATCCCGAAGAAGAAGGTGAGGGAGGATAATATTGTTTTTACCCCTAGGGGCATATGTCCCAGGTGCATCAATTGTTGGATGCACATCAGGATGCGTGTGCAGTAGGAGAGAGAGAACACATATCCCCAAATGCATCCAATGGTGATGCATATGGGGCACTGTGGGTTAGGGGCGGACCTAGTGGGTGGTCAGGGTGGTCCACCGACCACCCTGTGGGCCACTTGTCCACTGCGGCACTCAGTCCTAGCGGCACTGCACCCTGTGGGCCTGACCATACATCATGTTGCAGCTCTTCGCGTGCTCTATGACGACGGCTTCGTTGTTGCCTGTTTCATCCGGAGGTGGGTCGGTCGCGGGGCCCATGAGGCCATGACTACGGCTCGGGCCACGTACATCCGGCCCAAGCAGGCAAGCACGCGCTGCGGCGCTGGACCCAGGCCTCGTCTACGAGACTACGACGATCCAGATGCTCTTCGCGTGCGCCAGCGCCGGCTCCAGCTCGACCGCTCGGTGCCGGCTCCAGCTCTTCGCATGCGCCGCCGCCGCACTCCAGCAGATCATCGCCCGTCGTTTTGCCTGGCCTAGCCATCGCCTGCAAGACTGATCGAGTGATCGCCGTGCTTCCTCAGTTCCTCAGGTGATACTCCCCGTCCATCCGCGTGCTTCCTCAGTTCTAGGTTTTTTCTTCCGATCGTTAGTTTTGTTAATTGGCGAGTGTTTTTTTCAGAACTCTTTGAGTCTTGAATTATGAAAAGAAACGGAGACATTCGATCCCTTTTCGACGAGCAAGAAAGAAGACGGCTGCTATTGACCCACCTCCGGATGTAAATATTGTGGAAGAGCAGAATCAAGAAGAAGATAGAGTACAAGTTGAAGAAATTGCAGATCATTTGCCCTTGCCCCCGCTAGCATCACCGCCACCGCCCGCATCAAAGCCGCCGGCGTATGACATCAATCGCCTACCATATGATCCAGGTGAAAGGCTGCCCATTGAAGATTATCCTGTTAATGATCAAGATGCAATTCGTAGAGCATATATTACTAAAGGTGCTTGCAAACCTTATATCCATGATTTTCCATACCAAACATTGAGGCGTACCTAAATCGATTCAAAGTATACAATGGTTGTATAATTATGAGTGGTTTGAATATAGTGTCAAGAAGGATTATGCATTTTGCTTCATATGCTACTTGTTCAAGAAGGGCAGTGGGTCAAAAACTTTTATTGTTGATGGATGGAATAATTGGAATATAGGAATCACAGCACTTCTCAAACATTCTGGTTCTAGGGCACATAAAGCAGTTCAAGAGAAGTACATTGATTTTATGAATCCCAAGGTAGCAATTGATTATAACATTGACAAGTGGAGTGAGGAGGAGCTTCGTCTTTACAAGAAAAGATTGACATATTCACTTAGATGTATCAAGTTTCTTTTGCATCAAGGATTGGCATTCCGTGGACATGATGAAAGTGAAGAGTCTAGCAACAGAGGCAACTTCATTGAACTTTTAAAGTTTCTTGCAGGAAATAGTGAAGAAGTGAACAAGTATGTCTTGAACAATGCACCAGGTAATTGCACTTTGACTAGCCCAAAGATACAAAAGCAAATTATTCACTGTTGTGCCATAGAAACTAGAAAGAAAATAATTGAGGAACTTGGTGATGAGCCCTATACAATTTTAGCTGATGAGTCTAGTGATATATCACATAAAGAACAACTAGCTCTTTGCTTGCGTTATGTTGATAAACTTGGAAGGCCATGTGAGCACTTTATTGGAGTTGTTCATGTAGATGATACTACCTCTTTGTCACTTAAGAAAACAATTGAAGTTTTACTTGTTAGTAATGGATTGAGTATGCAGCAGATTAGAGGTCAAGGTTATGATGGGGCTAGCAATATGAAAGGAGATATTAAAGGGCTCAAAACTTTAATCATGCAAGAATCACCTTCCGCTTATTATATTCATTGCTTTGCACATCAACTCCAACTAGTTCTTATTGCTGTTGCCAAAGGAAATACTGACTGCAAGACTTTTTTTGATCAAGTATCTATCTTGTTGAACATTGTTGGAGTTTCTTGCAAGCGTCATGATATGCTTCGAAATGCTAAGCTTGAGAATGTCAAGAAAGCACTAGAATGTGGTGAGCTTGAATCGGGGAGTGGATTAAATCAAGAGATGGGTTTGCCTAGGCCTGGTGACACTCGGTGGAGCTCTCATTACAAAACTATATGTAGCATCATCACTATATATTCCTCAATTCATGATGTGCTCATT